TTACATATAAAATTCTTTGAAAATTTAATACTATGCCCATTTCCTGAAGAGCAGCCTTAACGTCATTTTTTCTATTAACTGTGCGCTCTCGTAACTTTGTCTCCGTATAGACCCACATACATTTATGGCCAAAATAATAGGTGTACAGAGTTATTATTTAATAACTTTGAAGTATTTGAAACAATTTTGTTTTAAACGTATTTACGCTTTACTTTATTAAACATAAATATGTCGACAATCTTTCATTCCGAATATTAAAACTGATTTTTTTTTCAAAATAAGAAATATCATTGTTCAAAATAATACGATAAGTGTAAAATATTTTTTTCTAAATAAAATCAAAAAATTTCAGTTATCCTTTTTTCGGTCCATGGGCTTTTGACAACCTGTATATCCTCCGTGGTTTTAGATTGGATTAGTTTTCCAATTCTATTCGGCATGGATTGAGGGGATTTTTGGCGGGTTTCTAATGGGATTGTATCCCAAAGTTCCTTTGCTTTCTGCGACATTTGCTCCTTATTTTGGAAAGAAAAGGCTGCCAATCTCTTCTTGAGATCACTCTACAAGTTCTTAATCAGGTTGAGATGAGGGGATTGAGTAAGCCATTGCTTACAGGTAATATTTGCATCCCTTAACTACTCAGATACCAACCTCTATGTATGTTTTGGGTAGCATATGGTAGCAACACGTTTTGCTCAATGGCGGTCATTGTGTCCTTTATCCGAAATAACGGACCAACGCTTTGTCAGGAAATAACATTATGTTTCCGCCCCCATACTTAATTGTCTTTTTGGTGTATCTTCAATCAAATTCTTTGCCTTTAGGGCGACGGACAGTTCTTTTATAATCACTTTCATAAAAATTAATCTTAATATAAAATATTTTGCCAATATTTATCCAGTGGGACCGCACCAATTTTTATGTTCAGCGTCAAAAGCTTTTCTCTTCTGTATGTGGACCTTTCTTAGAAGTAACTTCCACTGCAATTTGCCGTGAAGTCACAAAAGGGTCCTTTTTTGCCATGAGAAGCGATCATCAATCAGGCCATGTTTGCTTGGACGACCAAAAATTTAATTAATATATTTTTCCGTCATCTCGAAATTTTTTTACCAATCGACGCTCTACATCGGTATAGCGGCTTTTGCGACCCATTCTAAATATTTCTAATTTCTTCTTTTTAGTTTATGATGTTCAAAGGAATATAAAATTACAAATACTCCAATACCTACATTAATATGAAAAATACTTCGAAATAACATTTCTTTTTTTAAACATATAACTTACACCTATTTTATTGGCCAACCAACTTTAATAAAGCAATGATAACTAGTCATTCAAACGCAAAATTAAAAAAAAAGTAATGCAAGTTGTGGATACTTACGCACTACTCTTTCGTCTTCATCGTAAAAATGTAACGGTATAAGAAAAAAAAGTAATAATTACAACTCCATTTGGCAAAAAAAACAGTACCAGCTAAACGCACACCACCTATTATTTTGTCCATAAGTGTATGTTCAATGGAATTGAAGCGTGGACTCTGAACATTGTTGTACAACCAATCACTAACCGCTAAAGCAGAATGCTTCGGGTCGTTATCCTGAATAAAGCAGTAACCACCATATAAATTCGGAGCCAAATTATTTTTAATATTACCTAGTACTCCATTTTTTACAAAATTCCTTCGATGAAAACAAGGTTGCCGACGCCAAATGCTCCCACTCCACCCCTTTTACCATCATTGCACCTCACAACACACAATGTGGCTTCCTTTCTGCTGACAGACTATATTTATTCCTTGATACTCCGAACAACTTTACTTTTTGCAGTGCCGTGGAATTTTGTTTTTGGGCATTCCACTACCATCAAGTCTGCCAACAACACCAATTTTTTTGAATTTAGCAATAATTTACTGAACAATAGTATTTGTTTTTTTTATTGTCTATTTCGAGAATACTTTTGTTCTATTGCCAAATTTGACTACCTGAGTCTGTAAACTTTGAGATGTTTGTTTATTCACCATTTTTTCTTCAAAAACTACAGCCGCATGAAACAAGTCGCTTACCAAATAACACCAGACAAAAATAACTGTACCTACTTGATAACTGCATTTAAAGTGGTGCAAACATAAATGTTAAATCTTTTTTTAATGCTAAAATTTTTGGAATCGTTACATCAAAATTGATTTATTCTTAAATTTTTTTTTATAAAAATACGACAAATACATAAGATTTTCATATTGCTACTCTTGGTTGCAGCTTCAAAGCTAAAATAGTTTAAGAGAAAAGTCCTTTCAAAGTCAAACATCTCTCTGTACAAGTTTTTTTTGGCTCACTGTATGTGGTTTTTACAAAAGAAAAAACAAAAATATATCGTCAACATTTGCCTGTTGGGAATGTATAAAATCATTTCACAACTAATTGTCATAAAAAAATGGAATACATTTGGAAAATCCAAATGCAATTTTTTTATTATGGGTTGCAAAAAATATAGGGTCTAATAAAAAGTAATTTAAAGCTTTTTATCGAAAAAACCAAAACTCAAGTCAGACGCCTGAAAATGTGAAAAGTATTTTTGATCTTGATTCTGTAACAATAGAAGGGGAATTATGCTGCATCAGAAACATATAACAAAGGGCAAATTAAAAAAAAAGGTACACATTTACTTCGTCAATGCCGTGTTATACTAAAGTAAGCTATTAATTTAATTATTTTTACTTTTTTATTTTGATGCTAACAAATAGGTTATTAAATGAGTAATTAATGTTAATTATAATTAGACTGGTTGCAAATGCTATACTGTTCAAACCATAGAACTTAAGTTAAAAAGTTAAATATTTTTCAAATTTATTTTGAAACAGTTTTCCCGTATTTATCAGATTTCATTGTCGTTTGTCACATGTTAAATCGTTGACTTCTGAAAATATTTTGCTGTAGGCAATACAAAAAAAAATATATATATTTAGGTATATATTTATCATTGAGTTAAAAGGAAGCAAGTTGAATTCTTTATACATATTGTATACATATATATTTAAACTTTGGTACGATAAAAAAACTTCCAAAACTAATTGCTAACACGACTGTTCTATCTACAAATTAATAGATTACTTCACATATATTGTAGTCCTTCTCTTCTCTCGAAAACAGCAGCATTCCGACAATCTGTATGCAATTCGGAAACCTCATGAACATACTTCTATAATGGGAAGAAACTTCAACACTAACAACTATGTATGTATTGTATATAGTACGCCAAAACAAAAATATACTTCCAAGTAGTATTATCAGTTTAAAACATATTAAAATTTTAAAAAATTAAATGGGAAACGTAAATATTATAAATATTAGTAGTATATTGTATACAAATACTATTGACAATTATTATTTTATTTACTTAATTAAAGAATTTCACTTTGTTCGAAATATATACATAATTTTTGAAAATGCTATGGTATACGGTTTGATCTTCAAGTCAAATGTTATAATTTTTATTAGTACTAAACAAATAAATATGTATATCCAAGCTTTGACCCAAGTGTTTGTATATGTAAACAGTTTTTATAGAATGTACCAATAAAATATTTAAATATGTTTGAAAATATTTTCATTACATTTTTCCAAACACATTAACTTTACCGGCATTCAAATATGAATATTTTAACTTCAGATATCAGAATTCATTGGATGAAGTTATTTATTCTATAGCGATTAGTCTAAGTTAAACAGTAACAAAATGTGTACTTTTATAACTATAAAAATGTATGACAATGCGCAATACACACTTCCAATATGAAAGCAGTACATTTCTCACATATATATGTATATATATACATATATGTATTTTTTTGTACAACTTTTTAATAAACGAAAAATAGTCCATTACCTCACTACCACTTGAAGACTCATCCGAATCGCTTTCATCCATTTTAAGCATATTTGTATGCCTCTTCCGAAGACGCTGCGTATTGTTTCTACGAATGTCATCCGAATCATCGGAACCATCATTTTTGGTAGATCTTTTTCCTTCAAGAGGTCTGCTATTTTGACGAGTTCTTCGCGGTATAGTGGAACATGATGGTGGCTGATTATTATTATCATTTTCTACTTGACCATCTTCCCCCGACACTTCTGAAGTCGAAGTACTATCTTCACCACTGTCATCAAACTCGATGCGCATGACGATGCGACGTTTTCTACCTTTCCTAGTTTCAGTACAATTACCACCACCATGATTGGTATTTCCTCGAGTAATACGTCGATTTTGGCTACACGAAGGACGTGGGTCACTATCACTATCACCAGAATCGGCGGCCATTCTAAATTATTGCAATATACAATACAATGGTATGTGCATAGATATTAAATTAGCAAACTACATAGGTATGCCCTTTTCGTTTGAACTATTTAGCTTTTAATTCTTGTGTATGGGTTACACGAATAGGGCTAAATAAAATCTGTCCCTTTCTGTTTTGATAGTACTTCACAAATGGTAATTTTATATTACAAAACTCAATTAGAAGTTTGATAATGTATTTAAATTATAGTTTCATTAATAAATTAAATCTCTATTGAGTAATACTTTTTTCACTGACAGTTGATGGCTATGGCCTCTGTATACGTAAATTCTATCTTTGCAATTTTATCTTGTTCTAGGCGAGAAATATATGCACTTTTTCAAACGCTCTTTTCTATTGTTGTATATTTAAATTTGAACACTTTTTAATTTCACAATGTGCCTTTGGAGGAGCAAAATAATTTTTTCCATAATTTAGTATTTTTACACCAGTTTTTCTCCAAATATTTAGGGAAATTTTTCTATTGCGTTAAAGTTTTTCACACAAACTCAGCCATTTTCGTTTTTCTGCAGCAAATTGTAAGCGTGTGCATTTATTATTGTAGTGTTTGTCACTTTAACGTATATGTATAGAAAAATAAGCCGATAACTTGAATGTGTGAGTGCGTTGGAGAGAAATTTAGGAGAGATCATATTTGTTTGTTGACAGCACTGCGAGAGGTCTCCTTGCAAGGTGACAAGACTTCTTTGTAGAATTAAAATTTAAAATAATATTTGATTGCACAAAACTAGTACACAGGATCGTAAATTGTAACAGTACAAAAATACGAGACGAAAATTCAAGGAAGCTTTTACGAGTTGCTATTGCATTTAATAACAAAAAAGTTTGCTATCTATTTAATCCACATACATTATTGTAAAATACTAGACGTTCTGTACTGTTCGTACTTAACTTTTGACGTTAGTTATATTTCTTATGTTGGCGACATTGTAGAGGCCATTAATGTCATAAGTCTCCACTTCCGTTTCGTTCTTTTTGGTGTAGAATAAAAATCTGTAAAGATGGGTCGTATGCACGCTCCTGGGTAAAAATTCGTTTTTAACTATTATTTATTTGATTTTTACGCAAGTTTATTATTTTAACAGTGCATTATATCCTTGTGCTATATACTTTGTATATGAAAGTTTAGTAGAAGATTGTGTTGCGTAAAATTCTTATATTGCTAGTACGCCCATGTGGCGTTGGCTGGTTTACGACAATCTTCCAAATACTTGAGTGTGATGTTTACTAAAGAATATTTATTCTTTTTCATGTGTCACCTTTATGATTGATTTCAAACAGTAAGGGTATATCCCAATCAGCGCTTCCCTACAGACGGACGGTGCCTTCATGGCTGAAATTGAATGCCGAGGATGTGAAAGAACACATCAAGAAATTGGGCAAAAAGGGCATGACTCCTTCCAAAATCGGTATAGTATAATATAAGACTTAATGTCCATATTGTGAGATTATTCTAATTTCCCATTTATGCTACAGGTATCATTCTTCGTGATTCGCATGGTGTTGCGCAGGTACGCTTCGTCAATGGTAACAAAATTCTGCGTATCATGAAATCCGTTGGCTTGAAACCCGACATCCCTGAGGATTTGTACCATATGATCAAGAAGGCTGTTGCTATCCGCAAGCATTTGGAGCGTAATCGCAAGGATAAGGATGGTAAATTCCGTTTGATTCTGGTTGAGTCAAGAATCCATCGTTTGGCTCGTTATTATAAGACAAAGAGTGTTCTGCCACCTAACTGGAAATACGAATCTAGCACCGCCTCGGCTTTGGTTGCCTAAATGCATACATCGGTGATCTATATTCGTAGGGATGTTTCGTTTTTGTATTTAAAAGTGAAATAAAAAAAATGTAAAATACAACTAAACGTGTGCTATGATTGTTCACTGAAATGGTGTAAGAGGAGTGTCTCTACTTACGATAGTCGGGGGATCGTAACCAGAAGGGACGCGGATATTATTCAGCCAATGACAAGTAGGCAGCATCGTATCGACAAAACCTTATATACTTGAATAACATATCTAATGAAAAATAAAGTTTCCGTTCACACGTAAGTCTAGTTGAGGGGTAGTCAGAGGCACGAAAAAATAAGAATTTTCAGTAATTTTTGTCTTGTTATTAAATCATGTTAATTTACAAAAGTACAATAGTAATATGGAATTATACAATGTTTTGACTTGAAGTCACGAAAATTAAAAAAAAAATTATAATTTTAATTTCGCAAGTTATAGCTGTCTGTGTTGACCATGTTCCAAAAAAAGGTTCTTGCGGTGACAATTATAAGTCCTTTAAAATTCATTTAAAATCAATCGGAACAAAAAAAAAAATAGTATTATAAATAGGGGACCTGATCGAAGCTTTTTTTTTCAAAAATTAACAAAATGGCGGCCTCAGGAAATTTTTTTCTAGATTTTCGGAAAAAATCAACAGTTAATTGGTCTTAAAAAATCGAAATTAAAAAAAATCCTTCGATCAGGCTCGAGTTTATTATGTATTCTAAAAGCTGAATAAATTTCATTAAAATCTACTGAGCGGTTTTCGAGTTATAGTTGTCACCAGTTCAAAAAACATAGTTTTGAGAAAAACGCATTAAAAGTTTCTTGCAGCTGCCACTAGCTACCAGCTCCCGAGCGCTTTGAAGTGCCCGAGCGCTATTTGTTATTTGTCGAATAACTCAAAAATTCATTATCGGATCAACTTGAAATTTTCAGAGAATATTTTCGAGATATTACACTAAACGAGAACGCAAAATTGCTTTTTTGAAAATTCTGACTACCCCTAACCCCTTAAGTTGAACGTAACCGTGTTTATTTTATATTCGACTCATCAGCATTCCTTATATAGTTTAATTAGCATGAATGCTTTTATACCTCTAAAAACAACAACATACCTCGAACTTTCAAAATATTCCTAATGTCGGTTTAGCAAATACAGCAATTAATATGTCAAAGAAATTGAAACAATTCAATTAACTAACAAAAACAACAGTAAATATAAGTAAACAATCGTGTAATACCATTGTATAATCCTACCTAGATTTATACCATTGTATAGGCTTATACTGTCAGAATATATAACTATCGTTTGTGTTGATAATAAGTGACGATAATTTGCCATCACTATTAAATTGAAGAATTTTTGAAATTATCGATAAAATGTTTATATGTAATCGCTCCAATTATTTATAATAAAGAAAAAAGGTTATTGCTTCTTTTCGTATAAAATTATATGTATATATGTAGTTTAGAATTAAACATACTAAAATTTCAGAGATCGGAATACACCATCATAATTATATTTTAAAGCAATAACGTATTTAACGTGTATTATACAAACGACTTCATTGATACGACAGACAGAATTCTGCAATAAAAATTAAATAAGTGATAGTTCTTTTACCTTTACATTTTTTATACCATTAAAATAAGTCCAATAGTTCAAATAAAAACTGAAAAACTCTCTAATATTTATCGCATATTTGCTTAGTGGCGCTTCACTGTATGTTGGATCACATTAGCGCTACGGTTGCTTCCGCTGATGGAACTACCGGCAATGGGGCTGCTTCGTTTTTATTTTCGCGAGTATTTCTCTTTCAGTATTCTCTGTGTGCGACTGCTAGATACACGTGTGCGCGGTTAAATCTGAAAAATTTGCGAGAATAAGAATAGCTACTTTTCAGATTTCATTATTTATATTTTATATTTTTTTTCTTTTCTTATTTTGGTGTATGATGATTTTCATGAAAAAATATATATGCTCAAACACAAGTACATATTTACGTAAATTTCGTAATATACTGAGTAAATAGATTTTTTTTAAATGTTGATGAAAGTAAGGGACGAGGAAACGGAAGTGGTGAATAACACCAGTTTAGTGTTATTTGTGACAGTTATTGATGTAAGACGAAATAATAATATAACAACAAAAAAGAACTAATCGAATACCTACCTATTTCGGTTACTGAAATACGTAGTACTATGTACTTGCCTTTATGTACCAATATATGTATATAAAAGTGTTTGCCATTACTTGTAGGTGTGCATAATATTTACCGGGTTGGTTGCCAAAAAACAGTGTTCTATACCGTCAGTGGTTCTGTGCTATTTCGCTTGTGCTTTTTAAATATGCAGTGTGTATTTGCCTTTGTCGTGTGTCATTAGTTTTGCCGTATGGTGCGTATTATGTGACGTGCTAATGTGACAAAATCATTTGTGTTTGCAGAAAATTGCTGAGTTCAATTAATGTCATGAATTGTATAATAAGTAGAAAAAAATTAAAGAGCAATGCTTAATTATCGAGAGGTCGAAATAAAATAGCTAAATTTAGAGTAAAACAGCATAAATTAATCAATCCGACATACGCACAATTAGTCCAATCGAAATTGGTAGAACTACACTCTTCTTAAGATATTACGACTAATTTATGCGTTTATTTTTTGATTTGTGTCTTCCTTTGCAACAAAAATGTGGTTAATTAAGAATTACAACAGCGTTGAGTAGTACATATTTCTGTCCATAAGAATGCAATTGGCATTTCGCGTTCGGTCATTGGTCGCTATCGCTTTGATTTGTAGACTTGCCTACATATGTACGTATAAATAATTGACTTATATGTGCTCACACCATTTTCAACGTGCTCCTTTGAAGCGTAACCGGCACTGCAGCCGCCAATGTATGTTTCGCTGACCGTGCACAAATGGAAAATTAGTGGAATCAGTGAACATAATTTTTTTTTCATTACTTTTTTTGTCCAATTTATGAACTGTCAGTGGTCACATTTAAATATTTATTCGTACATACATACATACATATGTATGTAGTTGTAAATTTGTGAATGCATAACTTTGAGCATGAAAACCAAATACATATCTATTTACTTTTATATAGTACATACACAAATACATGTTTTAGTCAATATTGGTATGCTTCACTGTTTCCACTTATTTTGCTGTCCATTGAAATCAAACAGCAGCGACAGGTAACAAATATTGCCGGTAGAAAAGCGTAGGACAGCAATATTTATGTAGGTAAGCAACGGCATCGCTAACGAAACATCAAATTATTCGCATATTATACACATACATACATATATGTGAATGAATGAATATTTGCTGTAAAACTTGTATTCACCAAGCGGCGTCTGCAGTAAGCATAGTGCCGATTTCTAAGAAAATATTAGCAGAACAATCGTGTGAATGCAGTTTAATTGGATAAGTGCTGAAAAAAGCAACAAGGGAAAAAAATAAATAAAAGCAAAAACAAAAATAGTGCGTAACTAAATTGGAAAAAGAAGAAGCAGAATAGTTTGTGCCAATAAGAGAACAAATTACATACATATGTATTTGAAAAACTCGACAAACTCACAAATAGAAACGGTAAAAAACATAATAAAGGTAAATATGCTAGTAAATAATAAATATAGTATGTATATAGTTATATTTAAGTATTATATAAAGCAGACGTTCCACTACTTAACTGAGTACAAAGAACACAACTCACTTACTTAGTAATTTTAGAGTCTATTCGCGGAGTGAGTGACTTAACTGAGTACAAAGAACACAACTCACTTACTTAGTAATTTTAGAGTATATTTGCGGAGTGAGGGTTGGGGCTTGACGGAGGAGTTATACATACTTGTACATAATATGTGTATACATATTTACATTTGTATAAATGCATTGAGAAATGAAAGTGAATAAGTTAACTCAAGTAGTTTATGAAAGGAGGCTAGAAGAGTGAATGCACCCATTAAATGCATTGCATATGTATGTAAATATACATAATTGTATATGTAGACACATACATGAGGGTATGTACGAGTAAAATATTTACCGTTATTGTTAGATGCTCTTAGATATGGTCAATATATTGAAATAAATTAAAGAGGTGATGGAAATATTGGAATTCTTGAACAACAAGCATGTTGTCATATTTAGAGCATATTATTCTATTATTTCACCAATTAGATTGTATAACTTAGAAGTTGAAAGGTATTTCAAGTTAAAATTTATACCTTACTCAAAAAAAAAACTTAATAGGGGTTTGTGCAAAATTTTATATCAGCATATTTTCATGTATTTTCAAATTTATAATAATTTTGTGAATTTCGTGAAGATATCTTGTCAAATAAAAAAGTTTTCCATACAGAGTTCGATTGGTCAGTTTGTGTGAAAGCTATGTATATGCAATAGTTGTCGGATATCGGCTGTTCCGATGGGCAAAAGACGTGTGCAATATTTCAAGTCGATAACTGAAAAACTGAGTTATTAGTTCGCGTATATATAGACTGACGGACATGGCTAAATCTAGTCAGTTCGTCACGTTATTCATTTATACATATATGTATGTATAACATGAATCGAAACTACTAAGAGTACATACATTCATACATATATATATATATGTATATAAAACCCATTTATTAATATTATATGTATGTATGTGCATGTACATACATATGCATGTTACTAGAAATTGTCTTTTCAGCCACCAAAAAATTATTTATTTTAATTTTACTAGAAAAAGTTCTACTAAATCAATATTTTTATTAATATTATATAATTATATAAACTTAATTTTTTTTTAAAAAATACACTAGTTTTTCTTTTGCAAATGTAATAAAATGCCAAATTTAAAGTGATGTCAGCCCAAGAACGATAGATTTCAAAGAACATATTACGTCATGAGCGAAAATCCAAAACTATCAAACTTTTATAGTATTTGCTAACATACCGATACATATGGCTGTCCCTCTTGTTGCCGGATCTCATGTGGTTGTTGTTGTAGCAACAGATAACATGCCTCAAGTAATTTTAAAAAATCTTGCCGAATTTAGTTCTCATGACCTTGCTGATATATGTATATAATT